TTTTTTTAAACCACCCCGGCCTAGTCCCTGAGGTGCAGTGCAGAGTCCCCCACCTGTTTTCAGAAGACTCTTGGACAAGCCTTCTGTTAACTCTAACTTGCCCCTAATGTCATTGTGATCCTACTCTGTCTCACTCCCTCTTTAACTTAAGGTGGAGGGCCCCAAAGTATTGACGTTGGGGCAGACAGGCAATTGCCATTTTCAAGAGGAGTTCAGCAATAACAACCTTCATATTTCTCTCTCCATCTTCTACAGAAAACCTGCACAGTCTTTTATTATGTTTTATATTAAAATGAATATTTGAAGGATTATTGTAAATAAAAAAAAAAGCACCCAGCTGTCATCACTGCACTCAGCATACAATTATAATACACATTTAACCAGTATAAGAACCCTGTTTGTGCTGTGAACAAGATCATTTACCAGGGAATACAATGAGCAGCCATCTCAGCAAAGACATGTATTTCCAATCTGTTCCAGCTATGAGACCGTTACCAATGGAAGGAGAAAACACGCTTGTTTACTGCTGTCAGGGGAAGCTATTGATCTTGTTTGTCAGAACATGTTGTACTACATGGAAGAGTCTTCTACAAACAGCTTCTTGGCTGATTCCATGAGAGAAGTGCAGACCGCTACAAGAATTCTCCACCCTCTTGTGTAAACCACGCATGCAACATTTACATTTCACAAAGATGTGTTCCCTGCAGGCGGTGAGATAGCACGCCAATAGACCAGCCATTCCCTACACAGCTTGGAGCCACGCAACTACAGAGTAATCAGTCACTGCTCTATGGGAAGCCTTGCAGCCCCTTCTCATACTGCAGCTCTCTACAATTTCATACAGAGGGGGCTGCATATTGCTTAAACTTATGGAAGGATATAATACAAGTAATGGAAACAAATACACAATATAAGGATGAGATGAGAGAAATGCAGTGCTCATTTCCCGCATATTTCATTTATTTGAAGGTTACAAGCTTAAACCTTCCAGCAGTAAAGCCAAGAGTTTATCTGCACACTTTCAGGAACACTTGTTATCGGGATTAGAAAGCAGAGATTATATGAGGCAAACGGGGCAGCACGGTGTAATTGTAGCTCTCTGTAACCTTCTAGTCCATTAAATGGAAAGCTGCAACATCTTCATACTTCACGGAAGTGTTTACATTTGTAGCGCATGAAGCAAACATCTTATTAGCAGAAATGAATGAGACCAGCAGTGCCGCCCCGGGAGGTGCGGCCGGTTATGGATGTCCCGATACCACTTTTTCAGGACCAAGTACTTCCCCTCATGTACTTGCCAATACTTTTTCTTAAAGGGACAGGTGACTTTAAATGATCCATAATACAACTACATATCATGTACTATGGATCATTTAATCCATTTATATTAGCAGGGGATAATTGTAAATCTATTGTCTGCAGTGTATTCTATATGTACTACACATGGAGCACACACTGCAGACAATAGATTTACAATTATCCTCTGCTAATAATAATAGCTCCTTAATAGGAACCCCTCTTGCCCTCACTATGTGCCTTGCTGGTGAGGTTGTAGTCAGCGCTGTGCGGGGAGAGCATCGGCGAGTCAGCGGAGGAGCTCCAGGTGGGGTCCTAATTTAGCTGCCCGGCGACTACCCTAAATTAGGTCCCCACTTGGAGCTCCTCCCACCGGACCAGCGCTGACTCGCCGCTGCTCTCCCAAACAGCAGCCAGAAGGTAAGGGAAAAAAAATAGCGCAAGCTTCGGCGCTTTGTATCGGGGCATTTTGACAAGTACAGGTACAGGTACTTGTCAAAATGCTCTGTATCGGTCCCGATACTGATGCTTGTATCAGGACATCCCTACTGCCGGTCAATAGCATGCACTTGATAACTGCTCTCCTATTGGCTGATAAGGCGTACTACTGTGTCCTGCAATACCTCCTCTATCATTGGTTGGCAGATGCTATAGAAATACCGATGGTAGAGGTGGTGTTTAAATGATCACCAGAGCTGCGAGCAATGAACTTTCTCAGCACAGAAGACAGTGATCCAGTGACATGGAGATTGTTGGTGCTGCTGTGGCAGTCTTGGGACACCTGCACTGTAGCGCACTGCCACAAGCCCCTGCTGTAAGTTCACACCTACAGGCACCTTCCAATATCCGGGTTTTATTACATTTGATATGTTGATTGTTGCTTCCTCAGGCCGCATTTACACCATGGCGTTCTGGGAACGCGCATCAGGTTAGTGCGCGTTGGTGTACTGCTATACTACTGCATGCACTTGCTGCATATCCCCATTGAATTCAGCGAGGTGCTGAACACGGCAAAAAAGCTCATATAACAAATGTTGTGACATGCATTCTGTGTCTGGCTCCCGTGTTTGTGTGCGTTTTAATGCGCGCAGAGGAAAACCACACGTCTTCCTTGCCACGTTTGGGGTGCCATTAGAAAAGAATGGCAATGCAAGCGCGTTTCGTGTATTGCTACATTTTCATCAAAGTGCACGTTTCTATGCATGTTTGGCGTGCGATCACAGAACGCAACGGTGTGAATTTCGGCCCTAATGTCATTATTTGATGGAAGCATTTTAGTATCATATTTATTGAATCATTTTATCGTGCTCTTTCTACCAGCCTCCAATTTTCTATTACTGTGTATCATTCCTATTATTCTTTTACCACACACATCTATAGAAACAGTAGAAGGAAGTTTCAGGGCGGCAGAAAGTCATATTTCTGGGGAACAAGTTTTATTTCCCAGTTGTGCTTTAGGAACATACAAGCTGCTTCTCCACTGCATTGTATGTAAATGTCACATGTGCTTGGTTGGTAGCATTAGGGTCATTGAACATGGGCGTGTGATATCAGTCTGTGCTTGCTGTTTATATAGATCGATTGGGGGGGGTGCAAGATAGCTGGCCTAGGGGAGGGAAAACTATAAATCCGGCCATGTACATGGCACTGCTGTCAGTCTATCATTATCCCTAACATAATTCTTCACCAACATAATTCTATATGCAACTTCCACATAGGGAAAATCTTCTTGCTTTCTCTACTTTCCTGCCCATTATCAATATCCCATTCATTTCATGGTCGTAGCAAATAGAATGTACACACCTGATTGGACCAGATTAATATGAGATACTAGTTGTTCTAATAATAACATGTGACTGGAAATATATCATGGATGCATTTCTTTTCTTAGCCAAAGATGATGGACAGACGATGGTGGACAGTGCCTATGGAAGTGAGTCGGTGGATATGGAACAGTCTACAGCATCTGAACCTCAGAAACCTGCCCTTCTCGGGACCACCAGGTTGTCTCCAACACAAGAATTAGCCCCAGGAAATGAGCCATCAAGTGGGCAATAAAACAGACACTGAAGGAGGAATCACCTTGGATTCCGCCCACTAACATGCAGAAGGACTCAGTTTGGTGCCTAAAATTTATCTAATGGTGTGAGCCACTGATTCTCAATTCTCTCCTAATGTGAAGATTTTATAATCATGTTATAGAGAGAACTCTGTCGACATTGTTTTAGCTCGCTGCCTAAATTGATCTACGTAGGTATATTTCTGACTATTAGTTGCAAAGAGATCTGAGTCATAGCACCGGTGGATGGTCACATTGGGACAAAGTGCAGCACTTTGAACAATGTCTGGAAATCAGATATCAGTGATTGAATGATTCTGTTCTACTTTTCATCTGTGAGATGATCATTGGAAAAAGACTTCTTGTGAACTGTTAAGACAAGACTTGTACAGATAGCTGGAGGTGTAAACATACACTTTTTTATTCCAGGTAATGTTTAACATGTATCCTTCTTTCTATGTTTATTGCTCCTAATACTATTATTTAAAATGTTTATTTTTATTACAAATAAATGATGTATGTTTTTTGGGTGTACATCTTTTATCCATGTACCAGCTTAACAAAGGATAAAGTGAGATGGCACCTTATGAACCATCTGGCAGTTTACCAGCTGTTGAATACTTTCACTACACTTCAGTGTATTCCTAGAGGGCAGCAGTATTCCACAAGCTAATTTGTGCATAGTTAGAGTTTCCTTTCATGATGCAGAAAATGACCAGCAATGGCTGACCTCTTCCCACACATGCAGAGTAGTTTGAAGAAGTCACAATGGACAGATAAATGTGGCAATCAATGTGCACAACTGTCATTATTTTGAGATGTGATAGTGATAAGAGTGTAGGAGTAGTGTACTACACTACTAGTGTAGTGATAAGAACAGGAACCTGCCATGTAGTAAAACCTTGGTTTCCAGTTAGCTGTGTATAATACAACCATTAGTACTGTTCCTGACCTGATACGCAGTAATTATCCTTACTATAAATTCAGTATCTAATTTTTCGATGAAGGAGGCACCAACTACAATTCACTGTGGTAGGCAGGAGGGGCAAGGGGAGTTAAGGTCATACCAGCTAAGAGAAGTAAAGTTGGCATTAGCCAGTTCTGCTCTCTTACCTTTTATGCCTTATGTACCAATGTAATAATGTAATAATGCAGCTTTATATACTGGTTGCCTAGTAGCCAGCACCCTACTATTAAAAGAAAATAAGATGTTGTTTTTAGTTTTTTCTTTTCTTATGTTGTATCCTGTTGGAGACATGTCCTCCTTACTTTCTGTTCTTTCTCTGGGACAGGGCATGAAGGTAAATCTCCCCAAAGAAAGGTGATATCCCCCCTCTTAGCAGTTGTCACTGGAACATGTATCTCATTGGAAGATTTTTCCTTATCCTCTGTCTCTTAAGCAGGCCTAAAACCTTGCATTTCCCTTCACTTTCAGTCTTGGGGACAACAGTCACCAGGACCTATAGAGAGGGGGAATCTCCCCTGTAGAGGCACGGTGTTCTAACAGGGGTTTTAGCACTTCCACATAATGTCCACAAAGTAAATTATTTCTATTACACCATTCTGCAGCAGAGAGAATATTTTCTTTGTTTAAATTATTTTCATTTCACAGCTAACATCAGTGTTATGTTCACATCAACTGTAGTGGTGTGGAGAGTGCACACATCCAATATACTACTTATAAAAATGTGCAGTGAAAGCCCCAGGTTACCGATGTTTGAAACATGCATTCCCAAAACAATATCCACATTATCGTCACCATAACTTATATATATATATATATATATACATATATACATACATACATACATACATACATACACACACAACTATGATGATTGCATTACCTTGGCTTAGGATCTGTTGCTTTACACAGGAAATAGACATCTACATATGAAGAGTCAATTTCATTTAATAAATGTATGGAAAATAAAACTTAACACAAATCTTTTTATGCAGAAAACAGTTTGGCATTTTAGATGCACAACTTACAACCAACCAAATTTACAGAAGGAAAATCCAAAACAATGTATTAAGCATTAATCAAAGATGCATTAAAGATGACCTTCAAGTGAGACAGAGGCAGGCAGCAGCCTGATCCAGCTATTACCAATGAGTCACTGCAATGAGTTACTGACTCCCACCTCCCAAGAGAGCAAAGGAATTAACAGATTAGGAAAGGAGAGAGAAGGTACAGAACTGTTAGAGGTTTTGGTGTTGTAGGACATGTCAACAATGTTACTGGATTGTGCTTCTTAAATGCGTCCAAAAACCCCCACTGGGATGAAGGGAGAATAAATAACAGTAATGTGTCCCACTGTCCACTGGACTGCTTTGTATCAGAATGTCCATCTGAGTGTGACACAAGTTCTAAACGCATGCAGGGAACATCATGGCTTCCCACTGCATTGTGCACAAGCGAAGTCCAAATAAAGTGATATAAAGGGCCCGATGGTGAAAAATAAAGGGAGCGTCTGGTGGATGGAATCGTTTTTATAAAAGGAAATCATATTGTTCAGTCTTCCTAGAGATATACTGACCACAACATGAATGGAGTCAGTAAAAAGCACCAGTTCTAAAACATTTCTTGAAGAAGCAATATACTGCATGGTCTTTATTAGAACTAAAGAATAAAAAGTCTTCTGTAGAAGTTTCCTGTCCAGTACAGCTCAGCACGGTGGAATACGCTCTGACACTTATGCATGCAATATTTAACATGTGTAACAATGTCTTACTTCCTTTCTGGAGCATACTTCATTGCAGTATATGTCCTTACAGTGAATACATCCACAGAACTGCTAATGAAAATTGCTGGGAATTTATCTTCCAGACCTCCAATCAAGCCAATTACTCTTCTTTGGAGAATACACTGAAAATAATTACCATCAAAACATAATAGCTTACCAGAGCAGTAGCCTGGAAATGAAAAGAATTATTGTTCACAGTATCTGTTTTCTCAGTATAAATGTTGAATACTGTACACCGAGTGCTCTGCTGTTGCTTGGTAACCTGAGAGATCAAAGAGTTTGGGAGTCGGGATGTGCCATGTTCTCCAATTTACTGCTGATCATGTGACTATTGAGGTCAGAACGACAAGGAAATATATTGATGTTGCCTGTACATTATATCGCACAGCACTCCCAGCAAGCCAATAACATTTTACCAGTGACAACACAAGACCCTCCATGTACACTATCGCTGCTGCAATTGTATTTGTATTAACAAGTGCTGAAATCTGACCGTTATACCTGAATGTAAACTATTACAGTTATATCAATGGGCAGGTGCTCAGGAAAATTGGAAATGTGTCAATTGTCAAATATTTAGCAATATAAACATACTATAACGTACACAATGATGAAATCTAATAAGTTAGTGGGCAATTATTAATGCAGGTTCATATTGTGAAGGAAAACCAAGATAAAGTGCTGATGTACAGTATAGGGGGCTTCTAGATATACAGCATACATAAATAGCAGTGATGTCATTGTGCGGCCGCCATGGCCATCTTACATACAGTACAGCAAGAATGGTAGTCATATATAGTACAGCATACAGTGTTCTTCCTCCCATCCCGACCTGTTTTGAAGAGCTCATTAGAGCAATGACCTGCCTGTTATGCTGGAAAGAACAAATATTTGAGCCAGCTGACTATATACGCAGGGGGATTGTTCCACTGCCATCTTCATCATTGGATTAGTAAAAGTTGTTTTATTTTTTACTGTATTTTATGTGCTTTTGGCTATAAGTGAATATTTAGTCTATGGCAGGCCTCCTCCTTTTCATTTATAGGGTATAAATAGGGACAAACCTATGCACATGGAATGTGTGTGTTTGAATACACACAGACGTTTATGATGACCTTCAATGTCTTGTTTACATTACTGGAAATGCACAAATGTTAATGGGAACAATGTTGTAGAATTTCTTTGTTCCAGGTCTAGCAACCTGATGCAGCAGTTATTCTGCAGGATGAGTCCACTAGTCCCTTGAAGCAGAATTAAACTTGCAAATAAAACTTTGACCCATTTAAACATGCACATAAAATAGTGTTCAGGGATAGCTGTCAGGTCAATAAAATTAACACTTGTCCTTGTTATGATGTCACTAGCACATTGTCATTAGAGCACCTTGTTGGGATTGCGTTCTCACAATACCCTCCCCATCCCATCCTGGGTGCGAGGCTATTCATTACTGAGCAGTCTTGAATAAGAGAGTAACGTCAACGTAGGAGAACAACTAGGAAGTCAGCACCGGAATCAATCTAAAATGGTGCCAGCTGAGCTGTCATGAGCTGTAGTGTTTAGAAGTAAGGAAAATCATTCTGGGGACTGTGGAATGCTTTTACACACTTAACATATGCACTTCACAGGGGTTTTGTTTTTAGCAGTTACTAGTTTAGTTTAAAGGAGAACTATGAGGTGAGTGCTTTTCCCTCGCCTCATAGTTCTAGCCGACCTGTGACAATGAGACTGTCACAGGTCGGCTCAGTAGATCGGGAGGTGAGCGAACACATACCGGCGTTCTCTCACCTCTCGATCCTGTAACAGCTCGCTGCTGTGACAGGGGAGGGGCTGGATTCCCCCCTCCCCACTCCGCCAGCCCTGACTGGCGGAATGGACGGGGGAGGGGGCGGGTACAGCTGGCTCAGCCTCTAGATAGGCAGAGCCAGCTGTCTGTCACGCAGCTGGGCGGATCCCGGCACAATTGTCGGGATCCGCTTCAGCTGCGGCGTCTCAGTATACCGCGAGCAGCAGCTCATGGTATACTGAGCCTAGGGTGACGGGAGGACTCTAGTTTTTGTCCTCCCGTTACCCTAAGGAGAACTATGGGGAAAAACCCTGACCCCATAGTTCTCCGTTAATTCCACTTTAAGGGAAAACATATGTTTGTGTAGAACAATCATGAAAAAGCAAGCATGTAGGAATGTGAAAGTCACGATACCAAATAACTTTCAGTTAAGCTAGGTACAAATCTGTACTTACTGATGTGTGTAGAGTTTCATTTGCAGAGTAATCAGTTAGAAATAGTGATGTCAAATGAACAATCTGATTTTCTGCACTTTTCTTGAAGAAGACACCAATCGGAGTGAAAGCCAAGCCCTGATATGCATAAAAAGCAGCCAGCCTCTGCACTAGGCATCCATTTCTCATTTAGGCATTCATGCAAAGCTT